CCGAGGGAGGCAGGGGGCTGCGCTGGCCGCTGGCTGTCCCCACGGGGAGGACAGCGCTGTTCTCGTTGGGGAGGGACAGACCCAGGGCCAAACGGCTGCGAGAAACAGGGCAAAGGGCAGGGTCTCCAGGGCCGGCTCCTCGTGCCCGGCTGGCAGGGGCAGGGCTGAGCCTGTGAGGAGCTTGCTGTCGGCACGGCATCCAGCAGCCTGCCCAGAACCGCAGGACAGGGCATTCGCGTGCAGCATGCGGGACGCCTGCAGAGGGACACTTACATGCTCTGCACCGCCCCCCCTTTGCATGCAGCACACGTGTGCTCTGCACCGCCTCCCCTTTGCATGCAGCACACGTGTGCTCTGCACCCCCTTCCCTTTGCATGTAGTATACGTGTGCTCTGCACACACCCTTTCCCTTTGCATGCAGCACACGTGTACTCTGCACTCCCTCCCCTTTGCATGTAGCACACGTGTGCTCTGCACCCCCTGCCCTTTGCATGTAGCACACGTGTGCTCTGCACCCCCTTCCCTTTGCATGTAGTATACGTGTGCTCTGCACACACCCTTTCCCTTTGCATGCAGCACACGTGTACTCTGCACTCCCTCCCCTTTGCATGTAGCACACGTGTGCTCTGCACCCCCTTCCCTTTGCATGTAGTATACGTGTGCTCTGCACACACCCTTTCCCTTTGCATGCAGCACACGTGTGCTCTGCACGCCCTCCCCTCTGCATGTAGTACACGTGTGCTCTGCACACACCCCTCGCCTTTGCATGCAGGACACGTGCTCTGCACACACACCTCCCCTTTGCATGCAACACATGAATACTCTGTGTACACCCACTTCCCTTTGCATGCAGCACATGTATGCTCTGTGCACTCATTCTTCCCCTTTGCATATGTAGCACGTGTGCTCTGTGCACACACCTACTCTGCATGTGGTACACACATGTCTTGTGTGCACACACCGCACATGGCACACACCTGGTCTACACACACACGCACGCATCCACAGCGAATGCTGCAGATGCACACGCTGCTGCTGAATGAATGCTCGGCCCGGGCGTGTACGCGGGTTTCTCAGTTTTCCTTCCCACACTTGGTCTGTTCTGGCTCTTTAAAGGCAAGCTCTTAGGGGCCGGGACTCTCTCCCTGTGTCTGTGTGGCACGGAGCACAGTGGGGCTCTGATCTCCGCTGCAATGCAAAACTTCAATAACAACGCTCGACTGGGGACGTGCCCAACGTGGAGAGCAACCGTCCCCCTGTGAACTGCTCGCCCCACTGCAGCCAGGATCGGGAGAGACATCCACAAGGCGGCCGTTTTCTAACCTGTCGGATTTATTGAAAAATTAAAAGCACAAGCTCTGTCTATGTACACACGCCCACCCCGCTCCGCCCCCAGAGCACCAGCCCGTGAGAGAACACGTGAGGAACCAAGTGACCAACACAGAAATCTCTCCGCCGGCCCTTTCCTGTGGCCATTCGCAGCCGTGGCCTCTCCTGTGCCCCACGTGTGGCACTAACATGACTGCACGGCAGGGCACGCGGCCTCCCTTGCCCCCAGCCAATCACCCAGGCCTGGAGGGGCTTTCTGTGTAGAGGAGGGGGACTGATGGAGGGGAGAGAGAGGCCGGTGAGATGGTGAGGGACGGGGCAGGGTGGGGCGAGCTCCCAGGGGCGTGGCTGGCCTCTCTGCCCCCACATGGAGGCAGGGATACAGGGAAAGACCATCTGGATATGGCTTAAACGGGGGAATGACTCTGAACTCCCTGCAGAGAGACAGAGGCTGGGCAGTGCCCTGAGTAAGTGCCCAGACTGGAGAGCAGGGACCAGCTGGATTCAACATTCTCCTCTCTCCCCCAGCTGCTTTGCTTCCTCCCTCTGCCTCTCTCTAGCCACCGCCTCGTGCCTGGGGCAGGCGGGCTGGCTGCC